ATCAGTTAAGAGAATTGGGATGTACCCATAGATGTGTTTTTATATATGTACTGGAGCTATGTGAAATTCATGTTTCCAGCAGAACCGAATCCTTAACTGGAAAATTTATACTGTCAGGAGTTAGACAAGTCAGAGTGTCATAACATAAGTGCATAGAGGAGGGCATATGAGGCTGTAATAGTGTTAAAACCCTACTTAGTGTCATTAATGTGTCAGTATGCTCACACAAATAAATGCTGTATCTCTCAGTTTACAACTAACTGTATCCTAAAATCTGTTTCAATTTCACTGTTTCAGTTATTCGCAGCCCTCTGAGACCAGACAGGCTGGTTTTCAGCAGTGGATGCAGGTTGTACATTGCTGTCCTCTGTGTTTACTGTGGGCTCTGTAGAGACGTATGTGTTGACAATGGAAACACGTCGGCTGTGGCTGGAAGCCTTCTCCTCCATGGGGACATACAACTTGGTGAAACATTTCCACAACCTCTTCCATACAATGTACATGAGCTCCACAAAATTCAGAGCAATACACAGAATAGAGGTGCAGCCCATGATGTAGAGGAAGATCTTCTTCTCTTTGGCTCTGCTAATGTAACAGTCGACCGTGTTAGGACAGGGACTCTCACTGCAGCGGTGCAGTATGGGCACCTCAAAGCCATTATACAAGAAGTAGAAAGTGAGTAGGAAGCCCACCTCGAAGGCTATCTTGAAGAACAGGCTCACTGTGTAGGTGCAGAACAGACCTCCATCAATGCTCCCTTTGTCCTTGTACAGTTTCCGCTTGTGTTTGGCCTCCCGGTGCTCCCTGTAGGCCACATGCAGGGCAACCAACAAGGATGGAGTAGACACCATGATGAGCTGCAGAGCCCAGAGACGCACCTGTGAGATGGGGAAGAAGTGGTCAAAGCAAGCGTTCTCACAGCCAGGCTGCTGGGTGTTGCATACAAAATCCTTCTGCTCATCCTTCCACACTTGCTCGGCTGCTGCCACATACACCAAGATCCTGAAGAGAAAGACCACAGAGAGCCAAATGCGTCCGATCACGGTAGAGTACTTGTTCACCCCACTGAGAACGTTTTCCAAAAAGCCCCAATTCATCTTCCTCCAAGTCTCCTGTCAGGGAATAAACCAAGATGCAATTGAATATAGCAGCACATAAGTATACCAATGTTTCTGTTTGTTTCTACCAATTTACTACAAATCACATCATTTATATATACATCACTAATGACCACCTTTCTGAAAACCATTGATTTCCATTCACTGCACAACATTATCTGTAATGTGGACTCTTTATGAAAGGTCTGCACTGTATTAACACAATAATTACATAATTTTGTAACGTGTGGCTGATTTGTAGACCTCCACCTTTATATACAGGCTGTAAAGAGCCTCTTTGCAGCTTTGTCAGTACGCAGGTTACACACCAAGCTAAAACAAACTCAATCTAATCCAGTTGTGAAATAAATCATCCTTCATGAAGGTGATA